CAGTGTTTGTGTATGTGTGTGTGTGTGTGCGTGTGCGCACGTGCACGTGGGTGTGTGTGTTTCCATACTGAAAATGTGATTACAAATTGAACAAATTATATAAAAGTCAATGACCCAACAAATTTCATTTTCTCCCTCTAAAGATTGCATTACACAGAAAATTACATTAAATCCTACATAAGATAAGCATACTTAATAAATTTTTTAAATGAAAAGCAATATTTTGGCAGAGTCATGCAAGAAATTCTATGTAGCAAATGGTAAAATGAGAAGACACAAGCTTATATTCATTGCTTAGCAACAATCTAGGATGAATGCCCAGGAAATAATTGCTAACTATCAGAGGCAGGTAAAATTTAGAGGGGATAAAATATATCTTTGTTGAAACTTCTGAAGAAAATAATGCTTTGTTGCTGAGCTTAGATCACTTTTGGACAGTGTAGAGGGGCCTGTCTTTATTTCGTAATCTGTTCCTTCTTCGAGCCCTAATTATTTCAACTGATGTTAAGGAAATCAAAACATTTCACCTTGTGGGAGCCATAGGTTCTTGGCCCCTTAAGGTTTGCTAAAAATCACTGACATGAGGTAGATTGATTAATAGGAGAAAAGGCACACAAATTTATTTAACCTGCATACACAGGAGCCTTCAGAATGATAACCCAATGTCCCAAAGAGTTACAGAAACTTATATACCATCCTGAGGCCACAGTAAAGAATGCAGACTCAGAGCATGACCGGAAACAGGTAAATCAGACTTAAAGGTAAGACAGGTTAAGAGAAAGAGAAAGAAAGAAGCTTGACTAGCAAAGGTGGCCTTGTTATGTAGATGGAGCTTCCCTCAGAGAGAATACATGGTACATGTTTCTTTTCAGATCTGTTAAAGGTGTCTGACTCTAAGGGAGGCAGAGCAAGATGGACAAATAGAATCTTCCAGTGATCACCCTCTCTGCAGAATCACCAAATTGAATGACTATCCACACAAAAAAGCACTTTCATAAGAACCAAAAATCAGATGAGGTACCAGCTCAGCTGCAATGGGGTAGAACACTATAAGGGCTTCTGGGATTCCCAATTCCAGACCTTGGCTCCTGGATGGCATTTCTGGACCTTCTCAAGGCCTGTGGGAAGTCCCCGCTACCCTGAAGGGAGAGTCCCAAGCCTGGGAGCACTCACCACAAGCTAAGTAAAGAACCCTTGGGACTTGAGTAAATGGTCGTAGCCAAGCAGTACTCACCATGGGATGGGGATGGTGGTAGCCCTGGGGAGAGACTCCTCTGCTTTAGGAAACGGGAGGCAAAAATGGGAAGGAATTTGTCTTGCAGCTCAGCCACAGTACAATAGAGCACCAGGTAGATACCTAGGGCTCCCAACTCCAGGACCTGGCTCCTGGGTGACATCTCTGCACCTGCCCAGGTCCAGGGTGAACTAGCTGCCCTGAGGGGAAGTACACAAGCATGGCTGGATTTTCCAGTTGCTGACTGTAGAGCCCTTGGGCCTTGAGTGAACATAAATGGTAGCCAGGCAGTGGTGACTGTGGGCCTTGGGTGAGACCCAGTGCTGTGCTGGCTTTTAGTATGAACCAATGCAGTCCCAGTGCTGGTGGCCACAGGAGTGATTGTGTCACCTCTCCCCCAGCTCCAGGCAGCTCAGCACAGAGAGAGACTCTGTTTGTTTGGGATAAAGTAAGGGAAGAAAACAAGAGTGTTTGTCTGCTAATCCAGGGAATTTTCCTGGATCTTAATTAAGAACACCAAAGCAATACCTCTATAAGACTGCAAGAGCCACAGTATTACTGTGCTTGGGGTGCTCACTAATGCAGATACTGCTGCAGTGACTAAAGACTTAGGTCACACCAAAGTCCCTTTGAATACCTGGAAAGCTTTCCCAAAACTACAAAGAATACAAAGATACCTAATTCTTCAATGCCCAGACACCAAAGAACATCCACAAGCCTCAAGACTATCCAGGAAAACACGTCCTCACCAAATGAATAAAGAAAGCACCAGTGACGAAGCCCAGAGAGACACAGATATGCGACCTTTCACAAGAACAAATGAAAATATCTGCTTTGAGGAAGTTCAACAAAATTAAAGACAACACAGAGAAGGAATTCGGAATTATATCAGATAAATTAAACAAAAAGATTGAAATATAAAAAGAATCAAGCAGAATTCTTTGAGAAATGAAATTGACATACTGAAGATTGCATCAGCGTCTCTTAACAGCAGAATTGATTAAGCAGAAGGAAGAATTAGTGAGCTTAAAGACAGGCTATTTAAAACAACAGAGTCAGAGGAGACAAAAGAATAAAGAAGAATAAAGCATGCCTACAAGAGCTAGAAAACAGCCTAAAACAGGAAACTCTAAGAGGTATTGGCCTTAAAGAGAAGGTAAAGAGAGAGATGGGGGTAAAAAGTTTATTCCAGGGGATAATAACAAAGAACTTCTCAAACCTAGAGAAAGATATCAATATCCAAGTATAAGGTTATAGAACACTAAGTAGATTTAACCCAAAGAAGACTACAGCAAGGCATTTAAAAAACATTTAATTAAACATAATAAAAAGTCCAGAAATATGGCCAGTGAATTTTGGACATCGGTGCCAAGCTAATCTAATGGAATAAAGAAGAGTTGTTTTAAAAGGTATTATAACAATTGAATAACCAAATGGAAAAATGTACCTGGATGCCAATCTTACATTACATAAATTTATTCGAAATGGATCTTAGGCCTCAATATAAAAGCAAAAATTATAAAATTATAAAACTTACAGGATAAAATATTTCAATCCTTGCTGTAGGGAAAGATTTCTTAGAATACAAAAAGAAAGATAAATTGTATTTTATCAAATATAAAAAAGAACTTTTCCTAAAAGTCAAGAAATGAAAGACAAGTCATAAACCTAGAGAAAATACTAACAATACATTTACCTGAACAAAGAGCTTGTATCTGGAATACATAAAGAATGATTCCACTTGATACTAAAATGACTACTAAATATTGCGCAACATTCATGGTTAAATATTTCAGTAAAAGATATTCAATAAGCTCATGAATAAGTTCCCAACACTTTTACTCCTCAGCAAGATACAAATAAAATCCACAATTCAGATACCAATTCACGCCTTCTATAATGTCTGCAATTAAAAAGTGTCACAAAACCAAAAGCCGGCATGGATATGGAGCAACTGGTGCTTCATATACTGATATTAGGACTGAAAAATGGTACAGGGACTTCGAAAAACATTTTGGCAGTTTCTCAATAAGTTAAACACACACCACCATATGATCCAGACCTACTTCCAGCCCTTCTATTTACTCCAGAGAAATGAAAGCTTATGTTCATACAAAGACTTCTAAAATCTATGTTCACGGCCACTTTCTGTACAACAGTAAAAATGTGGAAAGAACCGAAATGTCCATCATTTGGTAAATGAGTAAACAATATGTGGTATAACTATAACTATACAATAGAATTCAGATTCAACAATGAAAAGGAACTGATTTTCTCATACACACAAAAGCATGCACCCACTTCAAATACATTTTTCCAAGTGAAGGAAGCAAATTGGACTACATATTTGTATCTATCAATTTACATGAAATTGCCATATATAAATTACCATTTAAACTTATGTCTACAGATACAAAATAAAGATCATAAATATATCAAAACAACCTTTAGTAATATGCCATCATGAGACTATTTCTTTGACTTTTATTAATTACGAATATGGCATGTGCTCTGTGTAAAACTTCCAAAACAAGGAAATTAATATTTCTTTGCAAAATAACCATAATTAGCCATCAAATGTATATATTACCAAATGCAAACATATACATATATTTACATACATAACATTTATAAATCTAGGCACATGTTTGGAAGTTTATAATTTGTCCTTTTTACTGATAATGTAACTTGAAGATATTTTTCAGAAATATGTATAAATTTACCTGAAATATTATAAAAGTTGTACAGAAGTCACAATATGGACACACTATAATTTATCTCACAACTGTTTTGTCTTTTATGCATTGATACTCTTTTGCATGTATTTAAGTTAGTTGTGTCAAATACAGTCCTAGAAGTAGAATTACCATGCAAAAGGCATGCAAATTTTAAAACTTTGCTGGATCATCAAATTTATTTCCAGAAAGAGAGTAACATTTTAAACTCCTTTCATACTCTGATACTAGGGTAAAAATATAAAATTTATCTTAATCATATTTAATATACTTATCAATCTTTTATATTTTTTGTATCTATTTTTGATTCTTTTTCCTAATATCGTTTGTTAACTAGGCTATAATTTTATTATTTGAAATACCAAAATTATTACACTTTAAGCATACATATATGTATATTTTCTTTTTACTCTCACTTATGTACTATACATTGTTTCTGTATTGATTCAGATTTAAGCTATCTTATATAAAGTATATAAACTACTTTGCCAAAGCTGAATATTATTAAATATTACATAATTATTGTAGATACAAGCTTTTTGCCATAGTTAATACAAATGTCACTTGATTTTCTTTATGGAAGATTTCGGGTGCTCTTATATAATTTCTCATCCAGGTCAACATTATCATCATCACCATTTATAAGGAAAAGGGTTAGTATTTTAATATTTTGCTCAGAACTATGCTTATATTTTTAACATTTTTAAATAATTTGTTCAAATCTGTATTATAATAAGAAAGAAACCTGGATTTCTTTGTCTTTTGTTATTTTTATGCTAGCTTTTCCTTTGCTTAATTTTGTTTTTACTGTCAGTGAAATCATTTTATTTATATGAATTAATTAGTTTATATAAATAATTTTAATTAAAAATAGCTATAAAGTTTTGAAATACTTTAGCATACTATATATTTGACATATACATGAAATATGAAGAATATTAATGAAGTGAACAAATGTCTCTCTACCAATACTGCAAGAGAAATAAGGACATGTTACCAACAGGTGAACAATAACTTAAATGATGACAAACCTTTTGTTATAAACCAGGTGGTATTTGGTGGAAAGATGTCCTCGTCCTTGTCGACTTTGAGAAGTGCCTTCTCAATAGCATCCATGGAGACCTACCACCAGGGAAAATGGAGCTGAATCTTCCCAAAGAGAAAAGAAAACAAATTGTCAACACAGGATTCTATATTAACAAGACCATCCTTTGAAACTGAGAATAAGACATATGCACGTAGACAGACCTCAGGCAATTCGTCTCTGAACAATCTGTGATTTATTTGCTCCCAGAAGCTCTACAAGCTGTAGGAAATGACCCGTGAAAACCCAAACTTTGAAAATGCGTGAAAGGCAAGATGCGCCTTCTGCTGGTGACAATAGGTAATGACAGCAGGTTGTAATTTCTGCCTAGAAATTTATGTAGCATCACAACTGTTTCATTGAATTGGATACAAGAGGGTCACTAAGATTGGCTCAGAATTCTGGGATGGGCCATCAATCTCATCTTCTGAAGGAGAGGTTGTCAAAAAATGTGTAGAAATGTTTTTAATTAGCCTCAGATAAAAATCCAATAGAATAACTTAAATTGAATAAAAAATTTCAACAAACATGAAAGTGGTGACAAAAGAGGAAACAGAAATTAAAAGAGAAGAGAAAAAGCATAAAATGAAGGGGAAGATGTTCAACTTAAAAAAAACTATTAATAATGACTTTACATTGTATAAGGCCTAAACATTCCATTAAAATTTAGTAGAGATTTACAGATAAGAAAAAAAAGCAAGTTCCAATTTTAGACTCTTAATATGAAAGACAACTTACATTTAAAACCTAATTAGGTTGAAAATAATAGTATGGGAAAAGACAACAAACAAAAGTAAGCATTAAAGAGCTAAGTAAGGCCTGGCGCGGTGGCTCACGCCTGTAATCCCGGCACTTTGGGAGGCTGAGGAGGGTGGATCATGAGTTCAGGAGATCGAGACCATCCTGGCTAACATGATGAAACTCTGTCTCTACTAAAAAAATACAAAAAATTAGCTGGGCATGGTGGCGGGCGCCTGTAGTCCCAGCTACTTGGGAGGCTGAGGCAGGAGAATGGTGTGAACCCCGGAGGTGGAGCTTGCAGTGAGCCGAGATTGCACCACTGCACTCTGGCCTGGGCGACAAAGAGAGACTCAGTCTCAAGAAAAAAAAAAAAAAAAAAGCTGTGTAAAACCGAAAATAAAATTTGATGACTCCCTGCAACAATCTAAATGGTCTGTCTCCTCTACCAGGGCACTGTAAATTTAACCTGAAAGACTGGTTCAGGCCATGATGGGAAGGAGGTGTCAGACATGCCTCATTATGTCCCCCTCCCTTGAGGAATTCAGGAAAAGCTGGCTAGCATTTAACATCAACACAGAACTTAAGTCTGATAAGAAACATTTACAATCTGTTCTCTCTGAAGCCTGCTGCTTTTAGGCTTCATCTGCATGATAAAACCTTGGTCTCTGCAACCCCTTATCATAACCCAAACATTCCTTTCTACTCTTTCTACTGATAATAACTCTTTCAACTAATTGCCAATCAGAAAATTTTACAATCTGTCTATAACCTGGAAACCCCCACCATGCTCCTGCCCTGGCCCCCTCCAGTTGTCCTATCTTTCTGGACTGAAGCAATGTATTTCTAAAATGTATTTGATTGATGTCTTATGTCTACTGAAAAATTATAAAACCAAGTTGTGCCCCGACCACCTTGGGCACATATTTTCGAGGTCTCCTGAGGGCTGTGTCATAGGCCATGGTCACTCATATTTGGCTCAAAATAAATATCTTAAAATATTTTACAGAGTTTGACTCTTTTCATCAACAGCTAGAATGGGTACACTAATGCTAGGAAAAAAGTAGCCTTTAAGAAAAAGAGTAATAACTAGAGATAATAAGGGTATTTCATTATTAAAGGATCCATTTAACATGAATATCAGTAAACCTGAATATTTTGGTACCTGATGATAGAACTTCAAAGTACACCAAAATGAAACTTGGTGGATTTTGTTTTGTTTTCGTAATTTGAAGCTCTCTGTTGAATTCTTAACCTTGTATTTTATTTTATTTCTGTCTTCCTCTATCTCTCTGTCTCTCTCTTCCTGCTTTTTAAGTTCTACTCAAGGAATAAGTGGTCTGATGAACCCAGTCTGTATTGACCAGAAGAACATCTCCAATGTACAAATGATCACATATTGCAGGGCTTAGCACATCACTGACAACTTCAATTGAGATTGTGATTTGTTAGATACAATTTTCTTGAAATCCTTGATACTTTCATTAAGGCCTAGTATATGATTTAGTTTCATTACTATGTGCTAATGTATGAATATATATTTAGGTTGGTGCAAAGGTAATTGTAGTTTTTGCCATTATTTTTAACCTTATTTACTTGAGTATTTTCCCACTATGCAGTACATTTGTAATGAATCTTTAGCAGATGGCTCATACCTGGCACAAGTGTACTAAAGAAACATTTATTAAATCAATTAAATGATAAAATTAACTGAAAGAATTTAAGCAAATTATGACAAAAAGATCCACTGCCAGTGAGTATCATGTATCTAAATACAAATTGATCTTAATTTTATATTAATTGGCTTCAAGGATAAAAAGCTACAAACTAAAGGATATTTCAGAGAAAAAAATAGGGTTTGTAAAGATATCTGCTTCCAGTAACGGCAGAATAATCTGTTTCAGCAACCATCTTCCTGGGAAAATCTAGATAAACAAAAATCAAAAAATTAAAGACATCTGTTTGAAGACGGAAATCCAAGGATGCAAAGATTTGAAGGGACAAGATGTCAGAAGAGCCACCCAGCTGGTGAGAAAAAAATGTAATATTGTTTTTCCTTTAAAACTTTTTGTTGATTCAAAAGAGGTAATTGAGAACATAAGGCGCTAAGCAGAAGCTTGTAGCTGAGAAGCTAAGCAGTTGAGCAAGACTTTAGTAGTCTCACTCACCCCAGGGAACAATATATGGATTCAGGGCCTTCCAAAGGCCCTGGAAAATGCCCCAAGGGTTCATTTGGCATCTCTGAGGGGCTATGGCCTAAGGGTCCATATGAATCAGAAATTAAAAAAACTCCTCACAAAACTTAAAGCCCAGCTTCAACAGGTCGCAATCCCTGATTGCTATGAGATGAACTACCCTCATCTTAACTATCTCTCATTAACAAAAACAAATGTTCCCTGGACGAAGATAAAAATCACCTAGTGAAGATAAAATCATCTAGGATTTCCAATTATCTCTATACTATTTCATAAAGAAAATCCAGCATAAATCCAGCATACAATCAGAACTAACCATGCATGTATGCAAAATATTAAAAATGCATGATTCAAAAACATTTTTGGGGTAATAAAATTTCTAGCTGACTTCTAGTTTATCTCCACTCTTGTCATAGAACATGCTGTGTATTAGTAGTTGACCATTACCAAATCCTGATTAATAACCAATTTTTATGATTTTAATGTAATACTTTTAATGTAATACTTGAGAATATGTTCTCTGCAGTTGTTGGGTCTGTTCTTCTCTTTATGTCAATTATGACAATATTGTTCAAATATTCTGCTTTCTTACTATTTTATTCCTTGTTTGCTCTTTTAGTTTCAGAGATAGGTAAGTTAAATTACCTGAATTTCCTTTTCATCCTGACCACTTCCTGCTTTTTTTGCAAAAAAAAAAAAAAAGTTATTACATAAACAAAAAGTTAAGATGTTTATATTATTTTCCTCTTGGATTCAGCCCCTTATTACGTTGGAATAAACTTTTTTTTTTCTCCTAGAAATAATTCATCCCTTAAATCCACATTGTCTAAAAACAAAAACATCAACGTTTTTGGTTAATTGTTCCATTGTATTTTTTCCCATTCTTTTCTATAGGTTATGCAGTTTACATTTAAAATTATATAGATACTGATAATCATTAATGTTTAAAATGGAGTATCTAAACTGTTTAATCCCTGATAAATGCATATTTGAATCTTCTTTATTATTTATAAGATATGCTGAGTAGAAACCACCAAAAAAATTTAACACAACAAAAAGACACTGTATTCCTCTAGGGGAAAAAGACAGGATTATAGCATTAAACTTGAAAACCTGGGCATAATCTTATGAAAAGTTAGAAAAAAACCTTAAATTTGGGGAATCATTCAAAGAACCATTAGACAAATGGGTTAGTCAAAAATTGTATCACATTTTAATAGCAGTTGAGATTTCCTATAAATCCATATAATTATTTACAGGCTCAGTGATTTAGATTTCTTTTTAAGGCAGAAGTTATTTTAATTCCAGTGAAATAAATATTTAAACTTGTTTTTGCAGTTACAGATAGATAACTTAAGAGGATAATACTAAAATCAGCTTCCACTACAGAAATCATCTGCAGAATGAGAAATTTTAATGAGGGTTACCTAATGTCGTATGCTCACCTTATTGCAGACATTTCTACTGGACCATGATTTCTCTCTTGATGCACGTTAACTTATTTCATTTAAGAAGTGTTCTATGTCAGCAGATCATTATTTGAACCACAATTATGAGATATCCAAGCTCACTCTTCAGGAGACTCTAGTATGATTATCTTTACTAAGCCTTCTTTATTTTACAGCAATTCTGGAGTGAGAGTCCATCGCTTGTAATATTGTAACTTTATTAACATTTTTAGTATAATAAATGTAGCTATTTAAGAGTTATTAATTCCAGGGAGATGATGCTACATTTTGTTCTCATAGGGGCAACAATACATACATTTTAATTAAAAGTTAATTTCTAATTAAATACAGAGATATTGATATCAATAAAAATACTGACATATCAATAGACTTGGCTGCTCCCAAATAGCGAGATTTTCAGATTTATTTTATTTTATTTTATTTTATTTTATTTTTATTATTTTTTTGAGATGGAGTCTCCCTCTGTCACCCAGGCTGAAGTGCAGTGGCGTGATCTCGGCTCACTGCAAACTCCGCATCCTGGGTTCACGCCATTCTCCTGCCTCAGCCTCCCGAGCAGCTGGGACTACAGGTGCCCCCAACCACGCCCGGTTAATTTTTTGTATTTTTAGTAGAGACAGGGTTTCACCGTGTTAGCCAGGATGGTCTCGACCTCCTGACCATGTGATCCGCCCACCTCGGCCTCCCAAAGTGCTGGGATTACAGGCATGAGCCACCACGCCTGGCCCAGATTTTTTTTTTTTAATTCAAAGGATGACCAAGTATCAACTAATTTGTTTCAACCAGAGTCTTCAAATAATAGTATTACTGAATATTTTCAGAACAACCATGCTATTTATCAACATTAGAAACACAACATGATTTCTATTATTTTAAAATTATTAAGCATATGGAATGCATATAAGTGGACATTTTCATGTGAGGCTTGTGGGATTACTTATATTTTATATTTCAACTATAAGTACCTTTTAGGTGTGAGGACATATGGAAAGATCAAACAATATGACAGCTTTAAAAATGAGTTCAAAATGACTTGTCTGAGTGCCATATTCAAAGCTTTTCAGTACAAA